TTCCTGCTGTTGAGAAGTCGAGGGCACACACTCGATGTTACCGTAGGTGGCTTTGAAATGGGAACCGCGGTCAACGGATGATGATATCAAATTCACAGAGCCATTATGGAGACCTGCAAATTTAGAAGCAATGGTCAACCCAAGACCGGCACCTGTCGAATGTTCGCCGACCTTTCTGTATGGCTCAAATATTCGTGCTTGGTGGTCTGAATGTATGCCGCGACCGGTGTCCACGATATCGACGGCAAGCTCGCGGATGTCGGCCCGGAGAGACAGCGTCACGGTCACAATGCCCTCTGGTGTGTTCTGCACAGCGTTGACAATGAGGGGCAGTAGACTGTCTCGGAGCAGGCTGCGATCAGCCTGGAATTCGTTGCAATCTGGTGACGGAGCGCAGCTGAAGAGAACCGACGGCCGGTATCTGCTGTCTCCAGAAAACGCTTTACTGGTTTCCTCTGCCAGATCGGCCTCGACTTCTTGAAGTGAACATGCGGCATAGGACCTTTCCGCCATCGCAATCTCGGCCCATCGTTGAGCGTAATCATACTGTTGACAATAGCTATCAGGTCTCGGCCTGACGTCTTGATTGATTCAAGATATAGATTCGAAGTTCCAGCGTTGGCGGATGATGCGGACACGGAGAGTGCTCCTAACGCTGCCTTTCGCGTTGATAATTCTTCGGACAGCAGCTCCACGCATCCGAGAATGCCATGAATCGGAGTTCGGAGTTGGTGTGAGAATCCACGGAGGAATTCATCCTTGGCTTTGATAGCTTCGTTGAGAAGCCGCTTGTGCCATGCCTGGGATATCAAACTGGCACAAGTCTGAATAAACCAAAGATCGATGTCGTCGAAAACCAACCGGAAGTCATTCGATGCCACAGCGAGTAAGTTGGAGCCTGATGTCCCGTCGAACCTAGCACTCAAGATCCTCACAACCCTATTAGTTGGGAGCTCGAAGCAGTTGGACTGAGCGATGAATTCATCGATGTAGTCGGTGTCCTCCCATACACCGTCATCGAAATCTGCGATGACTAACGGCCCGCGCCCTTGAACCTCCAGATGAGTGGCCTTGGCTGATTCGCGGCTGATGACCGCTTCTGGATAAATAGTCTCCAAGACATGGAGGATGGGCCGCTCGTCCAGAACTCGGTCCAGATCAACCTGTGCGGCGGCAATGAGGTCGGCCATGTGGCGACGCTGCCGTTGCCGCCTCACTCTGGCGCACTGTACTAGGTCCGATACGATCCAGTCAGCCAGGTGCGCAATCGCGCGTTGCTTCGTCTTGGTCAATGGCGGCTGGCTCGCGCCTGAGGCCACGCAAAGTGATCCTAAAGCGACAGTGACGCCTGATTCGCTCTGCAGGCGAAGTGGTGCGCCGGCATAAGCATGGAGCTTGCCGGACTCTACATATGGTGAATCTTTGAACCGCCAATCCTCTAGCATATTGGGCATCAAGAACACGCTCTAGTGTAAAACATTAGTCATGCGAGGAGATAGCGACAGCTCGAAGGCAATGACTTACACCTGGCGGCATATTGATTGTGTGCGCGCAGATGGTCTCGCCCCGGGGGAGAATGCCCAGAGGCAAGCCGACCGCGGCTAAGCGGGTGTAGTAGTTGACATCGAGAAATCCGATGACGGAGAACTCCCAACCAGCCGACTCTTGCGCGAGACGCGCCTTTTCCTGGAGTCCGGATAGGAATTCTATTTCGTAGAGGACGTCGCGAGTGTAGTACCAGAGCATTGAGAGTCTGAGTCGCTCGTCTTTTGCTAGTGTTGGACGCAGGTATCGATCCGAACCGCACGTGGGGTTTTCGGGTATGAAGGCGGGCTCGAAAGGTTCGGAAGTAGGGGGGTAATTAGATCCATGCCGTTCTTGACACCAGGCGTCAACGGGCTTCTTGAGGCCGTCTGGGTCAAAGATGGGGTGAGGCGTGAGCGGGCGCGCGGACGGGAGAAGATGTTTCGTGTCAGGACAGCAGCGTCCGCGTTAGGGACGAACGCTTTTCTGACGCTCCTCACAGATATTGTCGCGTCATTTTGGTGGTTTCGATCGACAGGCCTACATCTGAAGAACTGATCAGCGAAGGTTGTCATCACAATATGCAATTCTCAGAAGTGCGTGGTGGGAATCCGATCATAACTTCCAACAATTGCTGGCAATTTGCCACTCCACGGTGGCAAAGCGGGGTATCTGACCTCACGTGGAAGTGCCTCTGAGACCCACAATATTCAGGCAATCCAGGCCTTAGGTATCTATCTAGGTAAAGTGGCAAGACGATGAATGGATGACCTACCTAAAGCTCCTCCAATCATATGGCCAGCTACCCTAGCACCCAATACAACACTGAGGTACCCTGTACCCTGTTGCCTGTCCATTGGTGAGCCACTGCATGTTCATAGGCGTTCCAGACCACAAGCGGCTGTGGAGGTTGTTCATGTAGATACGTAGTACTCTGGACTTAGGAAGTACGTAGAGGGGCCTGATAAACTCTTTATTACTATATACGAGCTCAACCAAAGATACATCTAGAGCTCTAACTTGAAGTCCCAAACCTGAAGCATCCGGTCGGGGTACGAGCCCGCCTGACGTACAAACACACTCAATACATCGTATTCCCTTAACCGAACCTGGTCGTATAGTGGTTCTGTTGAGGTGTTTGGGATGCTCGTCAATAAGACCCAATGCCGAAACTTCTCTCGGGCAGAAGCAACGTAGATACGCGTCTCGGACGTCGCAGCGACGGGTAGGAGCGCAATCACGTACTCGCCACTAGCATCAGCAGCCAGCTTTCCACGGGGATCGTACAGATCAGGCCCCAGGAGACCACTTGGGTTGATCGCGCTCTTGCTCCAGGTCCCTATAATTTGTTAGGCCCGACGTCATGAAAGGCAAGATTAATATCGTTACCGTCGGTGTCCCGCATGAAATGCTGATAGAGATGATGGCCTGTGATATTGTCCCTCATAAGCGAGTGAAATCGGCCAGCGCTGTCCACAAGCTGGCCCTCTTGATTCACCATGCGACTGTTCTGTGGAATCTCCCACACAAGGGGTTCATCGAGGGCAGTCGAGATGGGTTGGGGAAGTGTCGAGCCGTTGCTGTTAAACCAAGTTTGGCCATCATCGTCAGAATAGGCAAAATAAAAGTCATGGTTGGTGTCAGCATTGGGTGTTTCTCGAACGGTCCACGAAGTATACAGCCGACCGTCGAGGTAGCTGAGGCCATTTATATATGCGTTGTTGTCGTAGCCCTCGAGATATTTGCCGTACGGCTTCCATTGCTGAGTTGAGCTTGAGTATCGATGGATGTAGCTGTCTCCAGATCCGGACCTATTCTGTTCAGCAAACCAACGTGAGAGAAGCTTGGACGACATACTGGGCCGATTCGAAATTCCATTAGTAAATCCCCATTGCCCAGCAACTCAAAGCGAGGATACGTGAGAGGTGTCCAGGGGCCTTGGGAACCAGGAAGCTCATGAACGACTTCATTGAACAAGCTCTCTGACCAGGTCGCCGGTACTTCGAGGGCAATGGGAGTCTTGGAAACACGATAGTTGAGAGGGACATCCTTGAAACAGTTAGCAGACATAGGCACAATGGTGCTGAGGACGCCTTACATGGTGGTCGAAGCTCAAGTGAACATGCCCATCGCCTGAGATGCCCATCGATATCATGTTATGACCGTCCATGGTACGCTGCACGTAATCTGTGAAGGCTAGGTACTCCCAAGGTTCTACACTCGGCTCAATCCTGCGACGGCCAAGATTGACATGATGGTTGTTGTAGCCCGCAGGTGTCGTGCTGTAGAAAGTGACATATTGGTAGTCTCCGAACGTGACCAGCACATCTTCCTGGTAACTAACACCGTTGAGGCGCTCGGGCCCCTGGATATCAGTCGCTATGTCCCAGACGTCTGTCGACCTGATGCTGATGGCCAGCGTCAAAGGAAGAGCCACCAGTGCAGAGCAAGTTAGTAGTCGCATCATGGTGAAGTTGTGGTATGGCACCTACGCATCAATTGGCCAGACAGGTGAAGGTTTATATACAACTCTAACTGTAATCTCGACCACCGCCTTCTTTCGGCCTCGGTCGAGCTCGAGGCGAGGGGTTCCCACGATGCTAACTAAATGATTCTTGACCTATTCTCGCCAAGACCAATGCTGTGACCAATGCTGTGGTGCTGGCGCGCGGATTGGGTTACAATGTAAACATCTCACTCTGTAGACATGGTGGCGCGGGGTAGTGGCGATCCCAGGGGTACCGCACGAATCGGACAGCGGGCGAGTGCCGGCGAAGTCGCAGTCCGCCGCTACTACTTTAATGGAGGCTAACCCCTGGCTTCTCGTGGCGCATGCCGATCATGCCAAGATCGCCCGTGTACGCAGGTCATCGTGTCCCGGACGCATCGGCAGTTGAATGGTCCGGGCCGAAACAGGTTGTCGGTGATTTCAGCTGAGGAGAAGGACATGGCCATTACAGGGACGGGTGTCCGAAAGCCAGAGCCAATGGAACTTACACGCCAGGCGCGAATCATGTTCTCAGACTACGAAACAGGGACTTGACTGCACATTGGACATTGAATTTGCATCCAGCATGTTCTTTTTGACAGGATTGTTGCTCTAGAAGAGTGAAGGCAAGCACCGCGGCTGATAGGTCATACGTCGTCGCCGTTCAGCGGTTTTCGACCATGGACCATGTAGCTGCGGAATGTTAGCCCAAGACCCGAACTCTGGCAGATAGTAACTCACATGGGCCAGTACGCATGAACGCTGGGATCTTTCAAGACCTTGCGTGCTTTGCTGACCAGCACAAGTACCTCCTCGTAGGTCCAGCCCAGTGCGCGCGTCAAAGGCACCATGGTCGAGGGCTCGAGTGCCTGGTCCATGTTGGCAAACGCCCACGTGCCAATTTCCTTGTAATGCTTGTCACGAGGCCACCTGTTGGTGGGCCACTTGTACACGGTTTCGACAACGTCCTCAAAGCCGACACGCTCCATGAGTGTCTTCCATTCCTGAGCTGCCGAAACAGGCCGTCCAAATTTCTCCATGCCCTCCATGACGAGTAGAACCCACTTCCAGAGGTCAGAATCCTCGGCAAGAGTGCCATCATCGCAACCAAGTGGCAGCGCCATATCCTGGGCCTCGAAGTAACCACCCGGTTCAAGCGAGCTAGTAGGAGTGGTCAGCCTAAGTCTTTGCCCCAGAGAACAGGGAGGGGTCACTCGTAAGCCTTCTGGACGATATTCTCGTTATTAACGAAACTGCCGGTCATCATACGACAGAAAATAAAATCGAAAGGTTTCGACCACGTCCAATCCTTTTCGAGATCGTCGAGCTATCATTGCCGTAAGCAAGGCAATCGCGATACATGTTTTTCAAAAAGCTCACCTCAAAGTGGCAGTTTGGTGGCACACTAGGCTTGTAAGTCCAGGGTCTCGGAGCGAAGCGTGGGGACGGGCTTACAGATCGGGCTGTACAGGGCTCAGGTCGACTCCGATAACCTGCACTCGTCAACAACAAGCTATCCTGCTGCCCAGACTTCACTTCATACCTCAGCGCCTGGGTGAGCGTCGGCTTTAAGGTGATTAGCAGCGCATACAGAGCAAGAACACGAAATGCTCACCGAACTCCATGGCCCAGATACCTGTGCCTGTCCCGAGGTCCAGCACACGTGTCGCTCCGTTGTTTTTAGGGCAGAGGCAGTGATTGCCTCCTATGGTCATGGTCATCACATAGTGCTGCAGATCTAAGTATAGCGTCATTAGCATGTTCTGACCGAGGATCAAAGCACCTTGATCGTACCCAATCTATCGACTTCGGACTGAGGCGGTGTTGTCAGCCAAATCCCATTCGACAGCTGCTCTTCACTCACATCATCATTCGGCAGAAAGTATTCTAGAGAGACTGTCAGCAAGCAAAGCCACTCGCCTGAAGATGATACACTCACTGCCAGCGCTCATGGAATGGTATGTGCGGCCATTCTCATGTTGGTACTCGCGAATGCTCGACCGCAGCGACGTAAGCGAGTCACGGGTAGGCTAGACGGTAAGCGAGTTAGCTGGGACTAGGATTCGCTAGGGCGACGAAGATAGCGCCTCTAGCCCTGTTGGTGAGACCCTCGTCCATGCTCTGTAGTGGCATCCACTGACAAGTGTAGCGCGGCCCGTGCCGATGTCGAGATTCCCTCTGGACCATTAATGCAACTTACCACGTCAAGCGCTGAGTCGCCGTCTGTTTCGCTACCTTCATCTGCTTCCTATATAAGGTTAGGTGCCATGCTGACCTGACGGATGGCAAGGATGGACAGAGGTACGAGGAAGCGAGGAACGGGACCGGACAACCGGACTTACGATCTGCACAGTCGTCAGGGGCGCAGCTTGTAGTAGGGGGGCAGCCTCTATGTGCGTTGAGTGAGGCGATTGTGTCGCCTGCGATGGCGGTTGAGTCGTTTCAGACATGTCGGCGTCTTTGGCCAGAACTTCCTTCTGAACAAGCCTTGGGTGGATGGCGCGGACACTGACGAGGAGCTCTTTACCTCACGATCAATAACAGGGAAGAAGAGCAGGCTGGCACGTCGACGCCTGAGGGCTGAATGAAGATATAACCCGTGTGCTTCCAGCGCTAACGTTGGCTAGAGGGGTAATTTTGTGATACGTCAGCTCCCTGTACCGGAAGTGTCAGCCCTGGGCCGCGGCTGCGCGATGAGCAGCCCCATGCCACTTCACTCTCTGCTCCTCAAGGTACTGATGCTCTGTAGCCTGTCGGCGGGAGAGACTTTTTCTTGCCCATGGGCAGAAAATGATTGAACATGATCTAGCGGCGCAAGCCGTCCTGTCGGCTCGCCAAGTCTCACAGTTGCAAGACAAAGGCGCGCTCGCGTACCCCGGCGTGCGGAGCGCGAGGGACACCACCACCCAGTCACAATGCCTCTCAGAGATTACTCCCCGGCCATGGAGTCGGGACCAGTCGACGAACGTGGATTGCGAATCCGCTTAAAAGAACCTGGGCGCACCCGTGGTCCAGTAGGATGGTGCGCTAGGAAAGCATCACTTCGCTCAGGCTCTCCCTCTGGTCTCTAGTCCCGGGCCAGCTGGCACATGGCTTCTTGATCATCTTGTGTCTCGTCCGCTCAAGTGCGCGAGAGAAACGTCCGAACTTGGTCGCCTCTGGTGGCGTCCATAAGGATTGGACGTCGGACGGTCTCTGAACTGACTCGTCCGATCCGATTCTTGCTTCAACTTCTCACCAGTCCCCTACTGAAAATGGATCTCTCAGCCATGCCACCTGCTACTATAGCCCTAGCAGCAGGGCTTTTGCTGCTGTCCTATTTGGTGGCTGCGCGCGTGCGGGGACTTTTCACGTCTGCGACACGTACACGGCCCGTTCTTGGCGGGCTGGACAGATCTGTGGCTGATCCGCAACCAACTGAGCGGGCGGCTAAACTTTGTGCTGCAAGATGCCAATAAAAAATACGGTACCACGACCTCTCGTCACTTATCACTCGCGCAGCGAAACTGACAAGGAAACTCCAGGACCCGTTGCTAGGATCGCACCCAACTGGGTCGTGTGTGGCGATGGCGCCGAGCTTCGACGCCTGTGGGGAGTGCGCTCTGGCTGGCAGCGAGGGCACTGGTATCGCGGGCTTCGCATCGACCCATACAAGGACAACACGTTCTCAACCACAGACGACAAGGTGCACGAGCCTTGCGCTCCAGGCTCTCAGCCGGCTACGCGGGGAAAGATGTGGACGGTTTGCATGAGCTGATTGACGAACAGGTCGCAGGACTTGTCCATCTCCTCGAGTCCAAGTATATTGCAACCGAACAAGACTTTAAAACTGTCGATCTGGCACGCAAAGTGCAGTTCTTTACTCTGGACGTCATCTCAAGCCTCGCGTTTGGCAAGTCATTCGACTACCTCAAGGCCGATGGCGATAAATTTCGGTACATTGAGACAACAGAGAGCACAGTCCCAGTGCTTCTGGCGACGGCCCTCATACCATGGTTCCTCAACATTTTGCAGTCACCCAGGTTAAAGTGGATCATTCCCAGCGCAAGAGAAATGGTCGGCATCGGCACGGTTATGGGCCTTGCCCAGGAAGCAGTGGATGAGCGTTACGGCGACAACCCAATTGTCAAACGTGACATGTTGGGCTCCTTTGTGGCCCACGGGCTGAGCAAGCAGGACGCCGAGGGCGAGACAGTCGTCCAAATCATCGCAGGCTCTGACACTTCGGCGACGGCAATTCGGTCGACATTGCTCTTCCTCATGACGAACCCTCCCGTTTACGCACGCTTTCAGTCCGAGATTGACCGAGCCATTGACGAGGGGCGGATCTCTTCGCCTATTACCGATGACGAAGCCAAGAATTTTGAGTACCTGCAGGCTGTCATCCGCGAGGGGCTGCGGCTGTGGCCACCCGCCACGGGCCTGCTTCCAAAGATCTCGCAAAAGGATGAAGTTGTCTGCGGCGTGCACATCCCTGCTGGCACCAATGTTGCCTGGGCCCCATGGACCGTTATGCGCGACCAAAATATATTTGGACCAGACGCAGACCTCTTCCGGCCCGAACGATGGATAGGTATTCCGGACGCTAAGTGGCGTGCGATGGACCAGCAGGTCATGATGGACTTTGCATCGGGAAGCCGATGGGAGTGTCTTGGAAAGAACATTGCCATGATCGAACTGAATAAGGTCTACGTTGAAGTAGGTTGATCCCCCATTCGCTTCACCTCGTCGTAGGCTTACAGGTGACGAGCTACTCCGTCGATTCGATTTTGTCCTCATTGACCCGACAAACCCATGGAAGTCATTCAACGCCGCATTCTTCATACAGAGCGACCTTAACGTTAAAGTTTCGAGACGGCCTGGGTTGCGAGGTGAAGCCCGGCACTAGAGTTTTGCCTTGGTACCTTTGGGACATGCGCTCATGGGCGTCACTGATTAGTGTCCCACGACTTTTTAGTGGTGGCCCGGTAAATACTGATAGCGTATGTGCTGACAGAGCGTTTGTACACCAATGGTGGAGCTATGCACATACTGATGGCGATATGGGGTGTTGAAAGTAGTCGAAGTTTGATATACTTATATCCCAGTGCTTGAGTAACCTTTTTTCTTGTTACAATCGCGCAACGAGGCACTCTGGCCCTGCCTGATTCCAGAGCCAGGTCACTTCCGATTTGGACATTACTTTGGTGTGTCGGCTGGCTTGATGACCGTCCAAGGGTTAGACTTAAATGGATAGCGTCCGAGATCTTCCCTTTCACGTATAGACCGGATGTGATTCTTTCCATCGTGGAAACGGAAGTACGTCATGTTGTAGATAAATCTCGCGAAATACGATGCCACCGTCTGTGAGAGTGATACCCAAAGATTGTGGTACTCTAGACTTTTACCACGGCGTTGCTCGTATCTGCTGCAGAATTGAAGACATTCACTTCAAACTTTGCCATGAGAATACGACACAATGCTAGGGATTTGAGAAGCGGCGAGTGTTTACGTGCAGTCTGGTAATCTTACTCAAGATCGACCGCTTATCAGGATCCAACATCGCAACAGAACGATTTCACTCGGCAAGTAGCTACACACAGGCGAGAATCCTTCTCGCGTGCTGTCAAAGAGTCTTGTGCAACGAGTGAAGGGATCAACTGTTGGTCTCTTGGGGGTCTCTAGGAAGATAGAGTAATCGATCCCCTTCCCCAAATCTTAGTCCGTTGACCTTTCTTATAACTATTCCCCCACTGCGCTTGGTCCTCTCTTCTTGATTCCTACGATCAAACAACAGGCGATCCCCTATCGGTCTCATACCTCCCTCAGGTCCTGACACGTGCCCAAACCAACACGAGGGCTGGAATCTTTGAGACAAACTCTTCGCAAGAACATGTATCCAGAGAAGATGCATACGGCATCTGCAGCCCTTATGCTTTGACGACTCTTGACTTTCATAATTGACGGCTTCGGCGTGAATTGTTTTGACAACTTGATGAAACACAAGCCTGCTTCGAAAACTTTAAATACAATTGATTGAAAGACAGGAATTCCATGATAGGCACCCAGCTCGGTCATTGCAAACCAGGGCAACAATGAATAATTGGTATTAGACCTACGGCTCTAGCAATCTGAGTACCAGAGGGCATGCGGATGGATGGAATGCAGCATGCGAACAAACATTATTCTTACTTCTCAATCACTAGCAGCAAGAGTCCCGCCTTAATCCGACGCAGCATCATTGTCAGAGCGTTATTTAGAGCAGAGTGAAGGGGTCTTCCACAGGGTCCGCAGATAGATAGAATATAGGTATAGGATAGGAATATATCTGAATTCTAGCCCTCCGCAGCTTAGGGGGCCCTCCGCAGCCTATATATACGTTCTCTCCGGGCCCTTAGCCCCCTAGCTAGCCCCTTAGCTTAGCAGGCCCTTAGTAGCTCCGCAGGGGTCCTGATAATCATCGTACCTCGACTGGAACGAATCTATAATGTGGAAGTCCTACCGGAGCTAAGCTAAGTCAGGGAGGCAGTGGATTTTATGGCCCCTAGATGCATTCTGATTTTAAAGCTATGAAGAAAATTCGCAAACGTAGTAGCAGTCTCGTCCCATAGGACGTGCTGCGAGAAATAGGCCTAGTTATTCTCCTCACGAGAAAGACAGCTACGAATAGCAAAACTGGACCAGTGTCCTTCCTGACCACCGTCACGTGGCTTCGGACTCGGCGGGAAGAATATACCCCGGGAGTGTTTCCTTGGCAAGCCCCTTGCTCTCCACCAAGCTTGCCCCTCTCATGTCCATTCCCAACATCATCTGAAAGCCGTAATAGGTCGCGTTTCATATTAACAACCGTATGTCTAATACGATGCGATGAATCTCTCATTCGTGTCGCCAAGGCTGATAGATTCAGCGATCCTCCGACGCCCAACAAGCCATATCCAGTCAGCGGAACCCAGTTGAATGTCAGCTCCGATGTCAATGGACCCATGGAACAGGATCACCCCGGATTCAAAAGGACGCTAATGCGTGTGCTCTTCAATGCCCAAAAATTTCCCGTCGACAGGTCGACACCCGTGCTCATCCCAGAAATCAGAAGACCAGACCTCAATCAAAAGCGCTCCAATCAATAAACTTATACTCCGAACTCAGCACCTACACTCCAAGGTCGGTTGTCTAAGAAATGCTACGAACCCCGCGACGAGATTGCGCGGATGCTACTCAGGGCGGCCCCGCTCTAAGCAGTGGCTGTAGCGCCAAAAAGTCTGCGACCTTCACAGCACTCGGCCAGGCGCCACACACCGCCCTTAATCTTCCGTTGACCTGTTTCATCCAACTCCGCCGGCCAGGGTCACCTCAACACGAGGCTAGCCAACTGAGTGCTGTTCCACCACTCGCCGAATCCCAAAGCGGTTGTGGCCGCTGAATCCTGACCAAATGAAAGAAAAGATCTTCTGGTCCGTGAAGACATTGGGTCTTCTTTACGAAAAGCGAGGGCCTCGACCTTGATTTCAGAAATGAAATGCCTGCTCAAGGGAGGGGAGGATGCGTCTTGAGTGGATTTGTATATCATCAAAGGCCGTCGAACGCCATAGACCCAGAAAAGTCGAGGCCTTCATCTTTCTGCACCTTTTCTTGCATTTTACTTTTACTCCAACTTCTACGTTTGTCCAACATGCATACTCGCTTCTTTCCACCGCCGCGCTGCCTTCGCGGCTTCTGTTTCCGGCTACGATATCTCCACCCCTTCTGACCAGGACGGCTCGGTCTGGCAGGCTCTCGCTGGGAAGGATGCCACCAGTTTTGCTCCCCGAAGCTCCTCGAACCGACCGGCAAAGCGCCAAGCCGGCTGGAACCCGCCCACCAGCCTGGCTACCCCGTTGAAGCAGGTTTGGGATCACTGCCTTGCCACATATTCCGATGGCGATCTCTTCCGCTTCAAGAATTATGGCTGGGACCAGCTCATCGCGGCTCAGGGGTGAGTAAATCGTATGACTGGGAAGAGTGCAGCGCTGACAACAGAGCCAGAACCATCAATATG